ACCTAGTATTTTTATTTTTTTAAGTTTTAAATTTTTTATTTTTCTGTCGGTCATGGGGCTTGAACTCATGGCCTGGGTGCTGCCCCTAAGCTCTTTGGCTCAGGGTTAGCACCCTACCACTTGGAGCCACAGCACCACTTCCGGTTTTCTGGTGGTTCACTGGAAATAAGAGTTGCATGGACTTTCCTGCCTGGGCTGGCTTTGTACCATACTCCTCACATCTCGGTCTCCTGAGTAGGATTACAGGCATGAGCCCCTGGGTGCCTTGCAGACCTTAGATTAAAAAAAGAATCATAAACTTTCAAATGTATGTTATATTGTAAACATTGGCTCAGCTTGACCCTCTGACTCAGCTCCTGAGCACTGTCCCTTAGCTTTTTCATTTAAGTCTGGTATTCTACCACTTGAGCTATACCTCCCCTTCTAGGTTTTTGGTGATGAACTGGAGATAAAGAGTCATCATGGACTTTTCGGCTCTGGCTGGCTTCGAATTACAATCCTATCTCAGCCTCCTGACTAGTTAGGATTACAGCCAAGAGGCATCAGGGCCCAATCTGCACTGTCAGCTGTTAGAACCAAGTACACCTTACGCTTCCATCCATTCTGCGCCTCCGCCACGGCCCCTCCTCCTTGCCAAGGGCTCCCCAAACACTGGCACACGGGCCAGCTACGACTTCCGCTGACTTAATCTAAAAGCTCTGTTTGCACATTGTTGCTCCGAAGAAAACAGTATGCTAAATTGCTGTAGCATCCAAGTGCATATGACAGTTTTCCATATCTCTTGGGAGACAGCATGTCAGCCAGTTGGCCACTGTCCAATGTGCTCAGCATGCCTCTTTCTAACGTGCTTTCCCTGTGACACAGGCGTCCCCACTGGATTTGTGCACGGACAGCTTTTTCACAAGCCGGGGGCCAGCCCTGGAGGCCAGGCTGCAGCAGATCCACAGCGCCCCCGGAGAGAGCCTGCGCGCCTGGGTGGCGGCTGCGTGGCGGGCCCACGAAGGCAGGGCTGCTTCCCTCGTCAGCTGGGACCGCTTCAGCTCCCTCCAGCAAGCCCAGGTAACAGTTCACCTGGTCCGGACGAGCTGCCTCTCCAGCGCTGTGTGTGCCTGTGTTAATACCTACCCCATTCCTGCGCCCTGGGTGATGAGAACACAGTCAAGCATTTATTTTAAAGCCCCAGGTATAGCTGGGGGCCAGTGGCTCACACCTGGAATCCCAGCTCCTCAGGCGGCTGAGATCACAGTGTGAAGTCAGCCTGAGCAGGAAATCCTTGAGATTCTTTATTTCCAGTTAATCACGAAGAAGGAGGAGATGTGTGGCTCAAGTGGTAGAGCACCAGCCTTGAGGGAAGAAGCTAAGGGACAGTGCCCAAGTCCTGAATTCAATGTCCCTGTAACTACTGGCTTCCAGGAGGCCTGCTGTCCTGTCCCTGAGTGCTGAATTCAAATCTCTCCAACAGCTGTTCCCCACCATGGCCACCCTGCGCAGAGGCCTGGGAACTGATCAGGGGCTGTGTGATCATTCATAACCTCTGTCCGCGGACATGGCCCACTCCTCATGTGATCATTCACAAGCTCTGTCCACGGACGTGGCCCACTCCCCATGTGATCATTCACAAGCTCTGTCCACGGACGTGGCCCACTCCCCATGTGATCATTCATAACCCGTCCACGGACGTGGCCCGTGTGTTTTGTGTTCAGGATCTCGTCTCCTGCCTGGGAGGACCCGTGCTCAGCGGCGTGTGCAGACGCCTGGCCTCTGACTTCCGGCACTGCCGAGGGGGCCTCCCCGACCTGGTGGTGTGGAACTCTGGGAGTCGCCTTGTTAAGGTCAGTGGAGCCAGAGTGAAAGTCTTTTGTGTTTTTTTTTTTTTTTTGCTGTCAGTTGAGTCAGGGACCACACACTCGTGCCATTTCTTTTGAGGCTTTTGGCAAGACTGAATTCCTTGACAGCCCCTAGGCTGAGGACCGGAGAACCCTGGATCTCCCCACCGAGCAGCTGGTTTGCTCGCAAGAGCAGCCAGGCTGCCAGTGAGACAGGAGACAGGTTACTTCCTGTCTGCCAGGGTGGGAGCAGAGTCACCAGGCCCCGCCCACTCTCCCAGGGGAATCACAGCGATTGGGCAGCTGAGTTTTTGAGGTGCTCGCCGAGAGGGAACACCATGGTGTCCCAGGTAACTCACTTGTCCTCTCAGCCCAGTCCTGTGCCCTATCATGTTATTATGTGTGTATGTGTACATGCACACACGTGCACACATGCACATTCTAAACACAAGTCCAGTTCTCAGTCACACTCAGTCCCAGTCTGTGGCTTATCTCTTTGTTTTCTTAGTAGTCTCTTTTGATGGGCAGACACGTTAAATTTTGACAACATTACAAGTTCACGTGTTCTTTAATGGATACCTTTGATTAACCGATGGAGAAATATTTGCCTCACTGGGCATGAATGGTTCACACCTGTAATCCCAGCTACTCAAGAGACCAAGATCTGAGAATCATGGTTTGAAGCCAGCCTAGGCAGGAAGGTCCAATTATTTTATATTTTATTAACCAGCAAAAAAAACCCAAAAAATCCAAAGGCTAGAAGTGGAGCTGCAGCTCAAATGGTAGAGCACTAGCCTTGAGTGAATAAAAGAAAACAGCACCCAGGCTCTGAGTTAAGCCCTAGTACCAGTACACATACACACACACACACACAATCTGGTCACAATGTTCTCAACAAATTTCTCAGCTACATAGGATTGGCTATAGACGTGTGTGGTGAAAATGGCTACAGCTTATTTGAGTGACTATTTTCAGTAAGGCCCTAATCATTTTTACAATTCTGTCTTCTAGCTGGTGGAAGTTAAAGGCCCCAACGATCGTCTTTCACATAAGCAAATGATCTGGCTGGATGAGTTGCAGAAGCTCGGGGCTGATGTGGAAGTCTGCCACGTGGCTGCGGTTGGAGCCAAGAGCAAAGGACTTACCTAAAGGCCATGGAGCCAGGAATGTTTTGCTGACATATGGGTGCAATAAGAAAAGCATGCCTGGGGCTAGGAGGGTGGCTCAGTGGTAGAGTGCTTGCCTTGCATGCATGAGGCCCTGGGTTCAATTCCTCAGCACCACATAAGCAGAAAAAAAAATGCTGGAAGTGGTGCTGTGGCTCAAGTGGTAGAGCGCTAGCCTTGAACTGAAGAACTGAGGGACAGCGCCCAGGCCCAGAGTTCAAGCCCATGACCAACCAAAAAAAAAAAGAAGAAAAGCATGCCTTTGCCTGGCGCTGGTGGCTCACGTCTGTAATCCTCACCACTCAGGAGGCTGAGATCTGAGGATCAGGGTTCAAAGCCAGGAAAGTTGGTTGAGACTCATCTCCAATTAACCCCCCAGAAAACCACAAGTGGAGCTATAGCTCAAGGTGGTAGAGTGCCAGCCTTGAGCAAAAGGGCTCAGGGACAGCATCCAGGCCCTGAGTTAAAGTCCTACTAATAGTACACGCACAGCATGTTACCTTGTATCTCCTTTGAATTGTCAGCAGTTCTGACTCATCAGTGTACAGAATGCATTACAGAACTTGGCCTCTGCTCAAAAACACTAATTCCAGTGGGTGAGGACTTAAAAAAGAGATTAAATGGTTTTTTTAGTAATTGGGTGGATTTGTGTTATTAGTTATAAAAAGCTGGAGTGGGGGGCCTACACCAAACACAATTCACTCACAGCTTTAGGTCTTTTATAAAAGTAGCATTCAGTGATTCTGGTATTTGGGAAACAACATTTTGGATCTCAAAGTTTTTCTATACTTCTTTGCACATTTAGCTGTTAAGATACTGTTTTCTGATTGCTTTGGGAATTAAAACCTGCTTCCCAGGAAGGAGGAGTCAGATATTTGAATCTTATTACAGAAGCATTATGCCAGTCAGACTCTTGGATTGTGTATACATGTGCTAAAAATCTGTGTCCTGATGCTAGAGAAAAAAAAATAGCTCTGCCTGTGCCCATTATCCTTGCTCTGTAGAGCTTTTTATCTAGCCAGGTGCTAGCACCTCACTCACCTGTGATCCTAGTTACTTGGGAGGCTGCAATTGTGAGGATCACGGTTCTAGAGCATGCAGGGTACGAGACCCTTGTGGGCATGGTGGTAAGCACCAGGCCAGCTGTGTGGGAGGCTGAGATTAGCTGGCAGGGGAGATGGAGATCACAGTTACAGAAATCCGAAGATTCCATCCCCAGAGGCTGAGCTTGTAGCTCACACCTATTTCAAAAATTAGACCAAGATAAACTGGGACATCAACCCAAAAGAAATGTACTCTTTACCTGACTTACATGACTAAGCCTTCTGTACATCACCTTTTATTATGATAAAAAAATTTTAAATAAGCAAAAATAAAACAATCGAAAATTAAGACAGCTCAATAGGAAGCATGAAATAGGTGGATCACAGTCTAGGCATAGGATCGGGCAAAATGCAAGACACTGCATCAAATTAACTAATGCGAAAAGGGCTAGGGGTGTGACACAATAGAAGAGTTCTTGCATAGCAAGCAAGAGACCTTGAATTCAAACCCTGGTACCAACCAAAGGTGTTGGCTGGTACCAGTGCATACCAGCTCATGAGGAAAATGGGCTCTCTTCTAGTGCTGAGTTCAAAGACTGCCACTGTGCTATTTGGAATCAGCTATGACAGGGACTACAAATTGACAAAACCAACTGATTGTTAAAACACTTACCAACAGACCCTGGGGTTCCAGGTTCTCGGGGATTCAAGGGTCTTCCTGGAGAAACTACTGGCTCCCCAGTTTTTGTCTAGTGGAGGAAAGGCAGACAGTCCATGGTCCACTGACACCCATGTGGCCCCACTACAACGAATTCTGAACTGTGCCCAATGTGACTGAGTTACACCTGTTTTGGAGGGCCAGCAAAAAGGCTGCAGGGTTAGCATGAGCGAATGAGCTAAGAGATGCCTTCCTGTCTTTAATCACTGCACCCTTGTGCATGGACCCGTACTGATGACAACACACAGTTCCGCTAGAAATTTTATTTAGCAGTCAGTGCCCTTCACATCCACTCTGTTGAACACGACCTCTCACCTTCCTGTGCTAGCGTGCTACTTCAGCTCACGAGTTCTAGGCACAACGGTTTTGTCATACAATCAAGTATTCACAACAAGGATACTGCTACCACAAGAAGGTTTTGTTGAAGGGTAGCGTTGAAAAGGTTTCACCCTGTTAGTACAAACTCAAACCTTTTACTTAAATAGAAGTTAAGACATTTTTGGTTTTAAGGTTGGTTCTCATCATAGAAGAGTAACACCCATGATTTTCCGTTCAGCACTAGAGTCTGCGGCCACCAGCACGGAGCTCTTCGCTGTACACAGCCACGCCTCCGGACCACCACCACCACCGCCCAGGCTTAAGGCTGTTATTGTTTTTCATATTATGCACACTGAGGTGTGGCACAATAATCATGATAGAACAATTATCCAGCAAAAATTTAAAAAAAAATCTTAACTGAATTTACCATACAAAAATACACCCATTTTCTATTTTAAAATAGCATTAATAGTACCTAATCTTTTTTTAAACTGGTAAGCGAACACCAACAACAAGGAAAAATTGCTAGAGGTTGAAATAAATGTAAGGGAAGAAATGCTCAATCAAACAATAAATTTAGAACCAGTTGTAATTTCTTTTTTAAAAAAGCAGCTTAATGAAAGGAAGAATTAGTAGCACAGCCAGAATGGTGTTTTGAGAGGGCTGGCCTCTAATCGGGGTATAAAATATATCATGCAAAAGTGCTATTTGTATTAGCTGGAAGTAGCCCTTAGTTTCTAGGAAACAACTTGGCAAAAACGCTGGGTTTATCCCTAAGATGAATCTCCTAAGACATTGTATAGCAACCTCTGTTAGAGATATCAACTAGTTTTTTGAAGGCAGGTGATGAACGGAGAATCAGCTAGTCCGTACACAGGCAGGTAAACAGACTAGCTGAAAAAGCAACCATCTTGTTTTAAAAAGGGAATAGGTTAAGCAGACACTTGACTATAAATTTTTTTTAAAAAAATATTGAAGGATGGCAATTTAAGAAAGGAAAACAGTCAAATGTGAGATGGCTGTGCTTTAAACTTGGTGGGGGGCGGAGAGTGGGGGATTGGGTGTGCACAGTGCTGTTACTGTGGGGCTAGTCTTAAGCGCTCACCCTGCAATGCTGGCCAGGCTTCTATCATAGTGGGAAACCAAAACGATCTCAGAAAGGAGCGAACATCTCTCAGCACTATCGTCAATTAGGAAGGGGGTGGCACTTTTGTGGTTTATGATAATGGCAGTATTAATGGAATTGTTGGGGGAGGCCCAGAAAGCCCCTACAGCCCTGGGGTCCTGCCGTGGAGAGGGGGTTCCCTCAGCTGCCTCAACTTGGGAGCAGGACCCCAAAGGCTGCTGTGCCCTTGGCACCTTTTAGAAACGTGGCTCTGGGGATTCCCAGGGCTACTGGTAGGAAGCTTAGTATGAAAAATCTATTTGCAGATGTGGTAGGATTGTAATAATGCATGAATGTTAACAAATGAACTATTTTTCTGTGATTCATAGCTTAATATCAAAGGCACTTTTAAATCCAATCACACCACCTATAGCGAATGTTTTAACGCTGCAGTGCGTATCACTGTAAAGGCGAAGTCCTATGGCGCTAGAAGCAAACTCCTGACTCCAAATCACAGTGCTGTAAGGCCCCAAAGGGAGATCTAAAATAACAAATTCCCCAACACTGGACCCTGGTCAGGTGAGTTCATGCAGGGATCACGGAGCGTGAGCAGGACACAGGATGATCTAGCATCTACTCACGTCCCTGGAGATGCAAGGAATGCATCTCCTGTCTTGAGTTGGTCATGGGGCCGAGTATTGGGTAACGATTAGTAGATAGTAGGAAAAACATGTACAACTCACCTGATCCATCTGATCACAGTTACAAGGAAGGGGGAATGTTTGTAGATCACCCAAAAATAAGCCAGACTGGTAATGACAGGAGAAAGACATAAAAACAAAGCTTACTTTTCTGGAAAGAACTGTGGGGAACATGACTCAACATGGTTTTCAGGGTTAGTGCAAATTTCAACTATTATTCTTAGGTATAAAATAACCTGTTTTAAATGCCTATGTTAGCAATTCTGATCGGGAGGGAAGAACTGACAGGCTTCCCTCACGATGTTCAGGAGGAACTCGACAATTCAGTCTTCATTTGCTAGCGTCTCAGTAGATAACCATATTTTGGCCCCACTTAAAAATTTGCTTAACGGTGTTCCTAAGATGCTCCGCCTGCACAGGTTCCCCACGGGAGAAAACGGGAAGGATGAAGAGAGGAAGTCGGGTGTGGCCGAGGCATCGTGCGGGCCTCGGGCCCGGAAGTACATCCTGCTCTGGTCCAGCTCGGCATAGCAGGCTTCCAGGGGGCCACCGCGCTGCTGCCGCAGCATCCTGCTGAGCATGTCCACCTCGTCGGCGAGGAGGGAGAGTTTGTGGAAGGCCATGATAGAGCCCCCGAGGGAGATCTGTGCCTCGGGCACCCAGCGGAAGTAGCACAGTTTCCACAGCTTTATGTGGGTTCCAGAGACACGTGGCAGAATAATGCCATGCAGGTCGACTGGTTTGGAAAACCACTCTTGGAAATACTGCTCCATCTCATTGTGCTGGCTGTCGGTGTGCTGGAGCAGGTCTGGCTTGAGTTTTAATATGAGCGAGTTTCTCCTGGGAAGTAATTCCTGGTCACTGATGACGCCGTTCTTTAAAGACGATGGCATTCCTCTCAGCGTAGAGCTGTAGCTTTTCTGCACAGGAAGAAAGCATCCCTTTAAAAAACACAAACGGAAGCTAGGCTGCTAGTAGCTCACACCCGGCAATCTTAGCTACTCACGAGGCTGAGATCTGAGAATCACAGTTTAATGCCAACTTAGGCAGGGAAGTCTTGAGATTCATCTCCAATGAACCATCAAAAAAAAAAAAGCTGGATATAGTGCTGTGGCTCAAGTGGTAGAGCGCCAGCCTTGAGTGAAAAGGCTAAGGGATGGTGCCCAGGATGGTTCAAGCCCTATACTAGCGCATTAAAAACATTGTTACCACAACAAAACCCCAATTGCTAACAATGCAATGAAAAGACTGGCGTGAGCACTGCTGGAGGCCTGCGGGGCTCCCTCCCTCAGCTCACGGGTCGGGGGCTGATGCTGATGCTTCACACACCCATGGAGGGGGAGGGGAGCACAGCACATAGACATTTTAAAGACTTATGGGAAATTGAGTTGTCTTTCAAGATTCTTCATTCTAGAAAGAGAAATGAGCAGCAGATCAGATGGCTTTCAGGCTCAGAGCCACAATCTGCCAACTCTCCGGTACTGCCCAGCTTCACGGTCTCAGGACACACAGGCAGGCAGGAGGCCTCACCTGCTGCGTCACTGTGACGTCACCTCTCCCAGTGCAGTTTACCTTTGTCCGCTTGAAAGCTTTCCCCGAGCCGTTGTGCACGCAGGGCGCACTCTTGCCGATGTAGAAGGGGTTGTGGAAAAGGGTGCGGTCCCTTGCTGAAAACTGCAGAGACCAGTCCCACACTGAGGGGAATTTTAAGCCTTTTTCATCACCCAGTTGGATATTTTTGCTTATAGCAAATTCCTGCAAAAAGACAACATAAAAACCATTTGAAAACAGGTGTCAAAAGCTGCATGCGCGACACCATGCAGCACACCGCATCCCATCTCAGGGCACGACAGTGAGGGAGAGAGGGAAAATGCGCCACGGTGGTAGCCTGGGCACCAGCAATGCGCCCATTGTGTGCTGATGCAGCCTGGTGAGCTGACTCCCCATCACAGCATGTGAACCGCCCACCCTCCCTGTGGCAGAGGACAGACAAGGAGATTCTCTGCGAGCAGCTCCCAGACCATCCGAAACTAAGCAGTCACCCTAGTGACACAGATCCTAGCGTCACCTCAGCTGGGTGACAGAAGCAGGCTACAGCGAGTTTACGGTGCAAATCCTTGCACAAAATCTCCCCAAATACCGAATCTGCAGATGGTGGGAACTGGCTTATTTTCTGTTCTGTGCTTTTCAACCTTTTCCAAATTTTCTAATTTTAAAACAGTTTGGAAATTGGAGAAATAATGTGTTCTAGGAAAAATGTAAAGTAGCCATCATGGCTGAGTGACAGCATGTGTCTTTCCAACCGTAATGATCTGGAATCGCTGAGAAATGAGTACACTAGGTAATAGCACTGTCATTAAAGGTTTAACAAAATTTTCTATTCCAAGTAAGTAAAAACTTGCCAGTGCCAGGGATTCACACCTGTAACTGTGGCTACTCAGGAGGCTGAGATCTGAGGATGGAGGTCCACAGGGAGGGAGGATGGGAGGGACCCATGTTAGCGTTTGTCAGAAAAACTTTTGAAACAGCTGAATATGAAAAGATACACCAGAACATGAAACAGGGAAGGCAACTGAAACACTTGTTAAACATTTTGCCCTTCCATTTCTGAGTAGAAATCTATTTGTTAGCATATCCTGGCCTATGGAGAATACAGCTAAGCTTACACAGGGGTTGTCTCTGGGAAGCCACCTGATGCACCTCCCCATCTCCAGGACTCAAGGCTGCAGCCCCTCATTGGACATGTTCTAATGAGGTAGCAGGCCTGGCCTCCTGGTACCCGCACTGTGTGTGTGCAGGGGTGGACCAGCATGGACAGGGGGCACTGAAGGGGCAGGGTGGAGAGAGCTGGGAGAGGCAGAGCCAGAGAGGGTAAGCTGGAAAAGAAGCAGGGCAGAAACACAATGACTGTACGTGAGAATGGAAGTGAGTATTTTAGGAGCAAGGGCTCTGGAACCTCTGGGACTCGGTTTAGCAAGAGAAGCCTAGAATAAAGTGTACAAAGATGTCCTTCCCAAGCTATCCAATCTGAAGAGCTCTCAGAGACAGGTGCAGTGCTCTGAGCCCCTGCTCACGCAGGGGAAGCAGCCCTCTGCCTTCTGCAGCTGGTCCCCATGCTGAGACAAGGGCTGCCCCGTCTCCTCGTAACCATACCCAGGCCCCTTCTTTGGAATGCCCTCCCTGCTGCCGTAGCTGAACACATCTGGAACAAGATGCTTATTGCCACATAGTCTACAACTGCATCTTGCACAATGAAACCAAAAGCGAGACTGGAGATGGGTGGAGCCACCCCACAGAGGAAGAACCTGGGTTTCAGGCTTACCCGGGAGGACTAAGGCCTAGCAGTTTTTAAAACTTGCTTAGGTCTCAATGCTAAGGCAATAATGCCCTCTATGACAGTCTCCATCAGGCCGGCATGGCTGCCTCTGGCTCTCTCTGGAGTCTCAGCAGCACTTCTGCATTCTTTCTCACAGTTAGTTCACTCAAATGAGACAGAACTCGTGGTGTGTAGAAAGTTGGCACACACGGAGAGGCCGCTCCCAAGACTGGCCTGATACTCTCCCCACGCCTTCCTGACTCTTCCTATAGGCCCATGAATTGTCATCAGAAACAATCCAAACCATGTGACACAAGCGACTCTGAGAATACACAGTGAGTATCTGCAGAGAATTTCAGTGTCATACTAGGTCTTTGGCTATAAACTTGCTCCACAACTCCTGAACAAAAATAAACTTGCTTTGAACAACTTTATTCCACTGATCCACTGTAATACTCCACTAAAATAAGTATCTTCAATTTTTCAAAATTAACCAACAACTCAAATATATGAATATAAATCCAAAAGCACAATGCTTAAGGTAGTTAGAGTAATATTCACTTTTTAAAACATTTTTTGCAGGACCTGGGGCTTGAACTCAGGGCCTGGGTACTGTCCTTGGGTCTCTGAACTCAAGGCTAACAAATAGATTTCTACTCAGAAATGGAAGGGCAAAACGTTCAACAAGTGTTTTAGTTGCCTTCCCTGTTTCATGTTCTGGTGTATCTTTTCATATTCAGCTGTTTCAAAAGTTTTTCTGACAAACGCTAACATGGGTCCCTCCCATCCTCTCTCCCTGTGGACCTCCATCCTCAGATCTCAGCCTCCTGAGTAGCCACAGGACTACTTCTGGCTTTTTGAGTAGCTTATTGGAGATAAGAGAGAGTCTCATGGGCTTTTATGACTGAGCTGGCTTTGAACCACAATCCTTAGATCTCAGCCCTCCTGAGTATTGAAATAATCATTTGGATAGCTCTTTTCTATTTGCAATTAACTATGTATTAATGATAGCTCCAGGCTGTCACTTACCGTGCTCTGCTTCACCCGCTGGTGAGGACAGTTGAACAGGAAGGTGCCGAACAGTGGGATCCAGGTGCTGTCGTACAGTACCGCCAAGTAGGTCTCAGAGAACTCGAAGGCAGCTGGATGCTGCTCTAAGAGCTGCCACGTGGCATCCAAGAAGAGCAGAAACAAGGGAGACTGGCAACACAGACAGGCAGGGGTTATTTAATACTGCCCCAGGTCTACATTTTAGTTTCAAATATATTGCTGATGCTAAGAGGCATGTGCAATCAGAACTACCCACCCAACTTTTATTTGCCTAACAGGAGTGAAAAGAAGTGGTCAAGCAAATAGGTGATTAGCACACTGCCTTATACAAATAGGGAAGAGCAAAGATGTACTGAAGCATATCCTGAAAACAGTTTCTCAGAACATACAACACAGTGCTCAACTAAATTCTAACTTCTGGCTGATCCCGTAGGCTCAGCATCCCCAAAGATCCTGTGATCCCAGAAAGCAGCCAACATGACGGAAGCCAGGGGCGGGAGCTGCCGACAGCTCTTGCCATGCTCTACCGCAAGGTCCTAGGAGACACCAGCATCTTCTGGATAGATCCAGCAGCCGCTGTCTCTAAAGCTGTGACAAAGGTGGTCCTCTCTACTCACCCCACATGTCCTGTTTTAGGAAAATGTGAGGCTCCATTCACAGTTATGGCAATTCTCTTAAGTAGCTAGGATTACAGAGGTGAAGCAATACATCTAGCTTTATTCTTACAAATATTTTTTTGTTTGTTTGTTTTTTGCCAGTCGTGGGGCCTGAACTCTGGGCCTGGGTGCTGTCCCTCAGCTCTTCAGCTCAAGGCTAGCACCCTACCATTTGAGCCACAGCACCATTTCCGGCTTTTTCTGTTTATGTGGTGCTGAGGAATCAAACCCAGAGCCTCATGCATGCAAGGCAAGCACTCTACCACTGAGCCATCTTCCCAGCCACATATTCTTACAAATCTTTGTCCAGAATTAATTCACTTATCTAACATTAGATCAGCTGCTACAGAACTGTAAACCTTTGGTGTGGTCAGGTTGCCTTGTGCTTTCATCCATCTCTTGATTCTGCATTGAGTTGGTAAATCAGGGGTCATGTTATGGCTTGGAGGCTTTTAGTCTCAGCTGAAGTATCCATCAAGGTTCACACAGGATGGTGTGGTGGCAGGGTTGAGGCAAAGGTTTTCACCAATGGCTGCAGTGTAGCTAAGTCACCAATGGGCTGCAGTGTAGCTAAGTCACCACTCAATGTACTCAAGGTACCAGGCCTGGTCACCAGTACCACTCAGAGTGAGGGAAACTAACTGCAGTAACTAGCAACAATAACCTGAAAGCAAACCAACATGAAGGTAGCTACTTGCCAGCTGTCCTGGCTCTTCCTGAAATGCTAGCAGTGAGTAGGTATTTAGGCTCATCTATGACAACCCTTTGTAAGTACTTCAATGTGGATTCTAATCCACTAGTTTGAGTAAGGAAGCTAAGATATATACGAAATGCTGTATTTTTTTAAAACCCTGTTAGCTACTTTTATAATAACACAAAGTTTTATTTTGAGCACTACTAATGAGGAAAGAAGACTGGATACCTCTTTCTCTGATCTCTTTAAGTGGTTGCATCTGTCTAGGAACTGGTATCCTGCCATGACCCACTCCTTCTGTACCAGACTCTGAAATCCAGTAATTGTCCTGAAATATGGATCCATCATCACTTGAACCAGAGAAGCTACCAGACAGCTCAAGTCTCTTCCCTCTTCCTCTGTCAATAAAATGGAAAAAAAATAATCACGACAAAGGGAAATAGTGAAGGAAAGGAGAAGTAAACTAGGTAATTCACTATTCTAAAGCTGTCTTAAATTTTTTCTAAAACTAAGCTATGTATTTACTACTAGGCTATGAATTTACTAGTAACTAAACTGTACATTTAAAATGTGTGAATTTAATAGTATGTAAATTATACCTTAATAAACTGTGGCAGATCAGCCTTCTTGAGAGGGAGAGATTTAGAGAACTGAGGTTCAAAACCAACTGAGGCATAAAAGTTCTCAAGACTCCATCTCAACTGATGGCTGGGTGCAGTGGTATAAGCCTGCCATCCCCAGCGATACAGGGAAACGCGAATAGGAGAATGGCAGCCAGGCTAGCCTGGTCACAAGACCAACCTTGAAAATAACCTCTACAAAAAGGGGTGGGGGGGTGGGGGGGAGGTGCAATCTGTGTGGAGAGCATCTGCCTAGCAAGCTTAAGGTCTTAAATTCTCAACACACGTGTGCACGTGCATGTGCACACACACACATACACACACACACACAACCACTAAAAAAACACTTGAAATGTGTCAACAAAACTGGCTCGGCTCTTCTGAAATGTTTTATATTACAAATGCATGGAGAAGTTGGGGCTAGGAGGACTTTCTAATGAGAAGAAGAGAAAGTGCCTGTCAGTCTTTACATGAAATTGTGAGTTAAACAACTCCAACTGCAAACAGCTAAGTGTATATACTACTATTTTCCCCTCACCTGTGTTTTAAGTATTTGTGCTTCATAAAGTGAGTAAAGTTTGATGGTGAAAATATTTTCATTCTGCATTTATACACTATGCACTGGGAAAATGGTAGCATGAGGTCTATTGAACTTTATCTGTAAACTGAGAAACTGTATTAGCACTAAAATTATTTAATATATCATTATCCCTTGCTTAACTGAGTTTTACATTGCAGTTTGTCCTTTTCAAATATTAGCCCAAATTAATATCATTGTCTATTCAGTTTGGTGAATTCTTGACCTCATACTGTTTCCTTTAAGTGTATACTACAGCAACAGTCAGAAAGCATTAAAGCTAAAACAGATCTGTAGGAATTAGGAAGACAGCAAGATTACGGAGGATGCCTGCAAAAATTAGTATTAGGTATGAATCCAATAAAGGATGGGACTTCCCTGTGCCATGAAAGAGGAAGGATTTATTAAGGGTAGAAATGGGACTCCTTTCTATTCTTCTACCTACAGTCTTTACACCACTGTTTTGTTTTACGACAGTACTGGGGCTTGAATTCAAAGCTTCATGCTGCTCTCACTCAGCTTTTCCAGTTATAGCTGGCATTCTACCCTTGACCCAAACCTCTACTTCCAGCTTTTTGCTGGTTAACTGAAAACAACAGACTCTCAGAAGCCAGCCTGGGCTGGCTTCTAAACTCAATCCTCAAATTTCAGCCTCCTGAGTAGCTTGGATTAGAGGCATGAGCCAACAGTGCCTGGCTTGCATGGCTGTTTTACTCTGATGATGTGAAAACTGCTAGTGTATCTGACAGAACTGTAGGTAAAAGATAGCTAAGAAGGATGCAGAGTCACCAAGATTGACTGGCATATGGTCATGTTTTAGGAATTATTCTAATTACCTTGTAGGACTACGGAGAGATGTTTGCTTTCTAGCATGTACACAAGTTCTGCTGAATGTTTAAGGAAGGCTCTGGAAAGAGAGGGGGAAAATCCTGTTAAAAATTGCCCTTAAGAGAAACTTATTGTTCACTATACACATTTATATTCTCAACCTTGGTATTTACATGATTCTTCAAAACAGTATATTTTGGGGCTGGGAAGGTAGCTCAGCGGTAGAGTGCTTGCCTCACATGCATGAGGGCCCTGGGTTCGATTCCTCAGCACCATATAAACAGAAAAAGCCAGAAGTGGCGTTGTGGCTCAAGTGGTAGAATGCTAGCCTTGAGCTGAAGAGCTGAGGGACAGCGCCCAGGTCCAGAGTCCAGGCCCCACGACCAACAAACAAAACAAAACAAAAAACAGTATACTCTGTGACTGTTTTTCTGTGGTGTGGGAATCTGAACTTGAAGTACAACACTTATTTGGCAGGCTTTCTGCCATTTGAGCCATGCCTATAGCCCAGTTTCTGAATCAAAGAATTCCTTCAGCCTTTACAAAAATGAAGTGATGGACTTATGTAACACCTATGAAATGATAAAACTATAGAGGTGGCAGAGTAAGGGCTGCCAGAGTAACAGGATGAGGTGGGGTGTGCTGGCAGCCAGCCTGGTGGAAGTGGCGCAGTGATACATCTGTACTATAGTAGTAGTCCTGTAGATCTACTCGCCATCAGCCACATGTGCGTGTGTACACACAGGAGGGCATATATAAATTAGTGAGATCTACAATGGTACTGTGTTGGTGTATAGGTGTGATGCTCTACTCTGATTCTCTTGGGGGACAGTGGGTGAAGATACCATGACTCTCTGTACTATATTTTGCATTTCCTGTGAGCCTATAATTATTTCAACATAAAAGTTAAAGAAAAAAAAGGGGGGGAAAGATGACAAACCTGACATATTCTAACCACCGAGTACTTTCCAGCGAAGATAACCATTTCTCTTCAGTTTCTTCAAAAGGCTCTGTAATACATAGGGTAATTGAATATATGTGTGTATACATACACATGAACATATTTTCAGGCTTTTGAAGTTTATTTTATATGGATTAATATCAGAGTTAAGATACTGTCTAATTTAAAAGTTGGCTTTGAGGAAGTGATGTACATCTTTACTTCTGTAACTATAGCAACTAAAAAGTATGTTATAATTCTTTTTTTCTTTTGAGACAGAATCTGGCCATTATACCCATGCAGGTTCAAATCCCTGAGTGATTTTGTTTCAGCCTCCCAAGTGCTAGGATTATAAGTATTTTCCACCACACTAGGCTACAAGTCTCAAGAGAGCAAAACCAACCATCCCCTTGGTTCTCTATCTTCTGCTTAGTCCTAAAAGCTCCTAGTTCCTGGCTTCCCACTCAACCCATGCCTAGCCATCTAACCCCACCCATCTGTGCCAACAGGGGCTGAGGCCCGCCCCCAGTGCTTTCTTACACCCTTCTCCCTGCTCCTCTTCTCTTCCTCTGCTGCCAGCACCACCTCCTGGTGGAGGTAGCTCTGGGGGCTGACCACAGTAGGAACAAGAGTGGCCAAACACCTTCACTGCCTCACCCAAGCACTGTGTTCTGTAAACACCCTGCTCCACCCCTATACAGCTCTTTCTGGGCCAGTGCTCAAGAACTGTCACAAGACCAGGCTCATTTTATGCCAAACACATTGTCATGTGACATCCTCCCCAGGGGAGGGTAGCCATCTGAGTTTGCTCAGAGCTTAGAAGTGTGATGGTGCCCATACCACATGGCTCTGTTTGAGATCCCTGAGGTCACTGATCTCATAACTGAATGTGTTAAAATCACCAAGTTTGTCTTGTTACCAAATACTTTAATAAAATTACTCTAAAATACCCTTCACAAACTGGATATTTAGAAAGTTCATTTTTTCCTCTTCAAAAAAAAAAAAACCAGTTTAAACTTTCTACAGTTGACATACTTGTAAAATAACGTGTAAACTGAACAAGTATTTTAGTAAATCTCTCTGTAAATATATCTACTATTGCTTTTCCTGATAGTTCTCATTCAAGTTCCTTACCACCCATTCATTGTATATATGTGCAAAATAAAGATGTGATTACCATTAACACAGAGCTGCTTAAGTTTTACAAACGCCGCCTGTATTTCTTGAATATTGGGCAAAGTCTTGTCCAAATCTGATTTGTAAACATCACTTCTCTGTGGATGACTTTTAGTGATTGCATTACAAATCCTGGTAACGACAAAAATCCTTGAGTTACTATTTACTCATTTTTTTCAGCATACATTTACTGAACACTTACTATAAAATCATAGCACTATTTTGAAAACTGGGGAGAGAAAGATGAACAAGATATATTAGCACTCTTCCTTCGAGGAGGGTACCTTATGGGCAGTGGGGTGAGATAAATAATGAAAATGGAAGGGGGTGTAAGGAATGTTCTAGAGGATTCATTAAAGTACAGAAGGCTACTTTAGGTTTCATGGTCAGAAAGGAGCCCCCTGTAAAGGCAATACTAAAGCTAACAGTCAAGACTGACACAAAGATCAGAGGGAAAAGGGCTCTGGCAGAGACAGCTAGCACAAAGACCACAGTGAAAACAAGCATGGCCAATGCAGATACCTCATGATCCTGTGTGTCAGATGACACACCGTAGGGAAAAAGGGGCGAAGAGGAGATTGAACAACAAAAGCAATCTTGAAGAACAGGACAACTAAAACACCCAGGGCAAAGCTCTATGGATGAACACAGATGCAGAGCTCTTTTGTTTTTTTGTTTTTAGTTTTTTGGGTGTTTTATTTTTGTTTTTGTCGGTCGTGAGGCCCCAGGGCGCTATCCCTCAACTCTTCAGCTCAAGGTGAGTGCTCTACCACTTGAGCCACAGGGCCACTTCTGGTTTTCTGGTGGTTTATTGGAGATAAAGAATCTCATTTTCCTGCCTGGGCTGGCTTTGAACTGTGATCCTCAGATCTCAGCCTCCTGTGTAGCTAGTATTATAGGTGTGAGCCACTGGTGCCTGGCAGATACAGAGCTCTTACCTAGCATGTATGAGTTAAATGGGCTTACTAGCCAGCACCTCAAAAACCAAACATACACCAAGCATGCATACATCCACCAAACACAAGGCACAGTGTACTCTTCCCTTTAATGGCAAAATTCTTGAGCACTTAATTGGGAAGCGTTCATGAAAACAAAGCTGGCAGTATACAGGACAGTGAATTCTAGTATGATTAGGATGAAATTAAAACCAATCTACTGTGATTATGAGAAAATTAAAACACAGCCTTGTGGGAACTGTAATCACTCTCTTTCACAGAGAACTGAAGGGTCAAGTGAAGGTCCCTAGGCAGTGACTTGCTTCAGGAAATATGATTTTCTTAGTTATGGTATTGTGGGAAAACCCTAAAATCTAGCTGTTGTAATACTGGGCTGAGTCTCTAAAACTGGTTCATTTTTCCTCGTTTATTCAAGAAATATTTTGTAACTATCAGTACTTCCTGGGGCTAAGTATGTAGCAGGGCACAAAACAATCATTGTCACTTCATGGGGCTGTCAGATAAGTGAGGAAGAGAGGCTGTGAACCAATGCAGCCCACATGTCAACCAACCACAAACAAGGGCTAGTGGGACGAAAAGCTAGAGTTTAATGGTCTTGGAGACTGCCACACGGAACATGTCAAATTACATCGCCGATACCAATGTGTTGGTCACTAAAGCCACAGATCTGAGTAAACTTTAGGAAGGGAGTATAGAACAGATGAAGAGGCGCTGGAGTTCTCATGTTCAGAGAGAAGAGCGGATAAGCATGTGGAGGGTACAGTGCCAGAGGAACAGCAGCAGCTGAAGACACAAAGGGCTCTCAGTGACAAAAACCAACACTGAGCTTGCTGCAATGTGGACAACTGAGAAAGGCCTCCCCCCTCAGTGACAGAAGTGACTGGTGACGGTGGCAAAGGCTGCGAAACTTCCTTGCGGTGGCCCCTTAAAACCACTGTCCTAGCAACTGTGACTTCCAGACCTAATGCGTTCCATGTGGAACTACAAGGAGAGTTTAACTGATCCTGGAATGTCTCCACTGGAAGCCACCGCACTTTGAAAGCATATGAAAAGGCGTCAACCCTGGAAGGCCCACAAGGGTAGAAAAAAGGTCGTTTTAGTAGAGTATTAGTGTTCTTTTCAAATGGCCATTCTTATATAGAACCTGAGGTGCTATTTCCAATTGGTACTGAACTTATTTATGACAGCAAATGCAACTGAAAAACACCATTTCTCGCTTACCTCTGGTCGATTTTCCTCTGCTGGAGCATGTCTTTGATCAGGGCCATGCGCACAAGAGCACTGCCATTCGGGTGACTCCAGCACCAGAACTAGGAGACAGGCAGAACTTCTGCTTACTGAACTGGGTACACACAGTGAAGGCTAGCTCTAACCATTATCTAACAGAAAAAAAATCACTTACTGGCATCCTCCTTCCAACAAAAGAATGCGAAAAGATCTTCAGATCTTGGTCTGCTAAGGAACTTGGCACTACAAAGTATTCTGGAAGGCTGAAAGGAAGAACGATCCCACGTGAGCCCTGTGCTCAAGGCAGAAGCAGTGTGCTCTGTACACCCATCTAAACACACTTATCCCCACTTCATTTAGTGGCCACACCCAAGGCTCCCAGGAGCACTGATGATTCTAGATATCTGTCTACATGGGTGATGGGTCAGTCGTCATACAATGAAATATTTAGCGTGAGAATAATACAAAATATATTTAAAATATTTTCCAGAATGACTACTAATACAACATGGACACTCTATCTGGACAACACCTTCGCCTCTGTTCTCTTGACGGGCTAAGGATAAGGAGAAGAAGTAAGGCAAATTTGCAAAAAGCTTCAGTTCCCTTTTCCTCATCTTCTGTGGGAGGGGGTGATAACAAGGTTTGAACTCAGGGCCTTGCACTTGGTTGGCTTTCTGGCTCATGGCTGGTGCGAATCTGGCACTGTGATGGTCAACTGGAGAAGGAGTCTCTTGGGCTTTTCTGCCTGTGTTGGCTTAAGAACACAATTATCCTTATTACCAGTGAAAACCATTTTTGGAAGCTTACACCATAATAGAAAAGGGTAAGTCTGGCTAGGCTGCCTGCCAGTGACTGTAATCCTAGCTATTTAGGAGGCTGAGATCTGAGGACTGAAGTGAGCCAGCAAACAAGCTGAGTGAGAGAGCCAGATCCGAGTTCAAGTACCAGCCCCTAGCCAAAATTACAACAGACTGCAAAGAAACACCAGCTAGATTGACAATAGTAGCAAAAATCACTGCCAACTGTTATGTTTAAATCTCTTACCTTTGAAATTAAAAAAAAAAATCCACTATAACATCATTGAGAACAAATATTCTGTCAACCATAACCTGAAAGCTATCCATGACAGGAGATGTGATTATTCTTCACAGACAAGTCACCTGTGGGTACATCACCGCTAAGATGAGACTTACCAAGTGGATATCATGTAACCCTCGTTAATGGAACATACACGCCACCCTGAAGCGCCAGTCCTCTTGATTTCTCTGTCCCAGTCTGAATATGTTTCAAACAGTGGAGTTTTCTGGCTGCTGCCACTGCCAGCAATGCTCCTTCCTCCTCCTCCACCTCCTCCCGAGGGCAATCCATTAATTTTGTTGGCTGCAGGAAAAGCAAATGATTTCACTGAAGCTTTGGGCAGTCTTTTTCTGCTCTTCCCACGCTTGTGTCACAAGCACACAAGCTCTTATGTGGGACGGGATCTCCTTCCTGCTTTACGTGCCTCCACGAGCCGCCTTGCCCTCTCTATCTAAAATTAACTCATTTAGCCTCCTTCCTAGCCGGCTGTCTCCCACCTACCTTGTATGGCTATTGCTCCTCTGCCTTCAAACATATACAGGTCAATTTGATTTTGTTGTTGTTGTTTTTGTGGGTTTCCACATTTGTTTGGAGACAGGGTCTCACTATGTGGTTAGTCCAGGCTACCCTGGAATGTATAATCCTTCTGCCTCAGCCTCCCAAGTGCTGGGTTTATAAGCATGTGCCTCCATGTCTAGCTTGATTTTGAAAAGATTGTCATTCTAGTCCCTTCTGATTACTGTGCTACACATTTTTCTTTTTACTAACCATTTCTTTATAGTATGAAAATGCTTGCTACCCATAATTCCTCTCCATTTATTATCTTATTTGAAAAGTTATCTCCTATCCCTACTATTAACAGAAGCAATTCCCAGCTCTTGCTCATCTCTCTGTCCGAACTGTAGGCATAAATCTAAGTCATTTATTTACTTTCTACACATTTTGATAGAAAAATTATTTATCCACAATTATCTCAATTCTGAAGCCCTCCAAATCTCATTTTTCCAACAACAACTTCTCATCTACCTGCTGATTAGAAAATTCTTTGTTTCCTGTATTTATTCCATTTGCCTTTGAGATGCTCACACGGTTGTTTTTGCTCTGGGAGAGGCTAACATGCTGACTCCTCATGGGAATTTCTGCAGGATGGGCCCAGACCTGAATCTCTAGCATGGAGCCTTCTCTAAGAGAGAAGCACTGCAGTTGAGTACTGTCTGTGGAGCATGCTCTGCTCTTTCCACCCTCCTGTCACATACCAGCTCTGATGGAGGTTCTCCTCTTGCAGCCCAGGAGGATGTGTAATATGCCCAGACAGAAAGCAGTATCCTGGTTAGCCAGGCTTGCCCTGGGTGACAGATGGCACAGCCCCTCCAGGCCCAGTGGGGCAATCCAGATGGACATCCCCAGTGAGATGCTAAGCAATGCTCAACCCTGTTAGCAGCTCTCCACAGCCATGCTACTTGCCAAGGTGATTTCATGGCACTAGCTTTTACCCCAACTTCCAATCATAAGCACTTTCCAATGGAATCAAACAAACCTACGTGTTTTCCCTTGGCCTAAAAGACCCTCAGATTAACTGTGGCTTAAAAAACAAAAACAAAACACGTTTCCATCCTTCCCTGTAGCCACACAGAATGTTCAACTACCCATTGGCAGCATGAGTTATCTCCTTGTACAGGACAGACATTTGCTGAACACCTCTGTTGTGCTAAAGGCTGAAAGTAGAAAGATGAATAAGCTTTTACTTCTAGTTTTGAAAGTGCTAACAAGGCAGTCAGGAGGAAAGGTCCCCTGCATGACTGGGTGTAGCAGAGACGCAAAAGCAGAAGCCCATGGTCTTGCTGAGGGAGGCTGGGAGAGAAGAGAGGCCATGATTTGACCTCATCTGAACAGAGCTCTAAAGAAGTTGTCAAAAGTTTTCAGCTGGTTGGTGAGGAGAAGGAAGGTATTTTGGGCAAAGAACATTTAAAAAGCAGAAGACAAAGGAAAATATTGAGGAAGTAAATAAATACAGCTGGAGCATCAGGATATAAGAAGTGGTGGAAGGGAGAGTAGAAGAGGATTTCCATGAGCCTGTGATTCCAGATCTGTGCTGCACAAGAGTGGAGGTCCTAGCTAGCCACAGCACCCGCTTAAATGAACATGAAAATAAAAATTCTATGCCTCAGCTGCAGTAACCACACTTCAAGAGCACAAATGGACGCCTCTCTTGGACAGTGCTATTCTAGATCCTGAAAGTCTTCTGTATATATTAGGAACTCTGAAATGTATCATTTATGTGCCATTGAATTACCCAGGGAGTATGAATTGAATAGAATTTGTTAAAAATATGCATACTACAAGGCCTATCTCTTCACATCCCACCTTCCTCTAGAGAACACAGCTAGAAAGAGTGATTTAGAAGCTGTGACTTCTTCATTTAGATGCAAAGCCTGCACCTAAATGCAGAAAACTGTTCAATTTTAGACAATCTAAGTCATTCGTCATGTGAGACTATATAAAAGGGGGAAAGCCCCATCTGACCAGCTCAGACAGTATAGAAAAACATTTACTAGAGCCTAACACCTGTTTGTGATTAGAAACAAAACAAAAAGCTTTCAGCAAATTTGGGATAGAAGGGAATTTAAATGTGATGGAGAGTGCTTATCACAAACACCCAGCAAACAGCATCATTATTAAAGCCAAGGACAAAACAAATTTCTGTGAGCACTGCTGTTGTCCAGGACTGTACCGCAGCCCTGTGCTGCAGGCTAGACCACAAAAGACAACCAACAGACACAGAAGCCTAAAGAACACACTCGTAACTTTGAAAAGAGGCATGTGGACAGGGTGGCAGCAGATTCCTAGCTCAACATCTAAAATGAAATGCTTTTCAGTATTTTGAGTTGTAGACTTTAATAATGGAGGCTGAGCATGTGCTACTAAGAATGAGATACTAGATTTATCTAAGGACATTTTCTAAACATCCAGTGAGAGCATCTTTAGGGTCAGTCCTGTGTTGTTTGTTTAGAGGTTTCTCTTGTTTAAAACATATACGTGTCTTAACAACTGGAACGAATTCTTTCACATGCCTTACATCTTTCTCAATACATTCATTATAGAATAAGAAACAGATATTCAATGTGACTTTATAGTAGGAAATTGTAATGATTTCCAGAAAGTCCTAGAGGTCTGAAGTAGCATGCTTTACAAATGAGCCACTACACAGTCTCAGCAACCAACTGGAAAAGTGAGTCATCTCAGGAGACCTTGCCATCTACAGGACTGAGGTTTTCAGACTAACTCAGCTTCAGATTAAGTGCAACCAGACACTATCACCATGTGCTTTTTACCCTGGCCATGTTTTGTGTACTTTACAAGGCTATTCTGGTTTCCACTTGCTGATCTTTTAGGATGTCCTGGATGGCCTCAAGCAACAGTTACATAGTAAAAGCAGTCAGTATATGAAGAGAACACCCATGGCTGGGATGAAAGGGCAGAAATGAGAAGTCACAAAGAATGGTGATAATAGCAATTTTAAAAAGTGAGTCAACGGGGGCTGGGAAGTTGGCTCAGTGGTAGAGCGCTTGCCTTGCATGCCTGAGGCCCTGGGTTCAATTCCTCAGCACCACATAAGCAAAAAAAAGAAAAAAAAAGTGAGTCAACGAAGTAGTTCTTTATTGAGAGATTCTGACTTTGAGATCTAGAGGTACAGCCAAGATGGCCGCCTTTTGAAAGGTTCCTCCAGTAATTCTGATGCTGTGGTGGATTAGAAACCACCAATATTCAAGATATGAGAGGATCAATCACCATCTTGTATATAGCTACAGGAGAATCTTAAGAACTGACAGGTGACGAACTTTAAAAATTCTTACACTCCCTGGATTTTCAAGTAAGTATTAAAATAAAGTCCTACACGAAAACCTATGTTACTAGAAAGGATAAAATTGAGGATGCTCACTGAAAAATATGCATTTTCTAATGGGAAGCAACACAATGGCTTCAGAGTGCATTGTAGCATTGGCAAGCATGGTCCGTCATGATGTGGAGCTGCTGACATTGAGCCTGCACATGACTTCATAAAGTTTTCAATTTCTTAGTCCAGAAGTATAATCTGACATCTTACCAATTTTCTAACAAAGGTGTACCTGTACTTTTTCCTTCCTTTGCCCATAATCTCACTGATGAACACAGAAGTTTGAGTGGTTTCTTGTGGTCAAAAGAGAACACAACCATTGTTCCCATTGTAGCAGGTGCCTGACGTGGTGTGTGTGTGCACGGTGCTCCACAGCCTGTGGGAGCCACACTCCCTGCTGCACCTCAGGATGCTCACAGAGGCTGGGGTAACTGTGGAGCCTGTCAGAGATGGACTCTACTCACGGAACACAGGATGCCTAAGGCCAGATAGGAGAGTCTTTCCTAGTAGAGGGGACATTCTCCAACCTTGTATCTTTTTTGTGCAAATGGCTTTGTTCACCTACCTGCCTGCAAAAAGGAGTTCTTTAATCCAGCCAATGAGTCAAGGTGCCATCCAGAAGTTCAAGAGTGGATTATTGGGCATCTGTCACTCACAAATTAATGAATTCTGACTGCAGTGTGTGGAAATTTCAGGCTTCTTTTGATCTTAAAGATGCAGTTTATGCTTCTGTAACAGCATGGAAGGATATTGAAGGATGTTACCCTCTGAAGAAACTGAACAAAATTGGCCAGAGATATGTTCATGGAGTACTTGCTGAAGGAGAGTTGGAAGGATGGACAGTACAAAAAGGTTCCTGATGACTTTAAGTACTAATCATCAAATTCTATCACCAAGTTATATAAAGGATTAAGAGGAATGGATAGAAAAGCCTAGTAGCAGAAAAGTTTAGGGTTGACAAACTAGACACCCACAAGGAATGGATGGAAAAAAAGAAGGAAAGTAACATAAGCAGGCATTAGGTTACTGCCTGGACAATGAAGTTGACTATATTTGCTATGCCTAGGCCATTACGATTTTGCAGAAGCCACAGACCTATATATGGGACCACATCACTCTACTAGCAAAAGGCAGCATGAAGACTGGGTCTGCAGCATAAGCAAACTGAAGCAGGATGGAAGACTGACTCTAAAACAAACACTGTACCTCTTCAAATAGTTTTTGGACTCTGAGTATGCACCTTATTGAAGACAGACTTGTGATCTGTTGTATGCCTAATGATAATCCTAAGGGCTAATGGACAGAGTGGAATTTCTACAATGCTTTATCTTCAGATAGTAAGTGAATTTACTTTATAGTAAAGAATCAATTTGAAAGAATAACTATGTTGCTCAAGCCCATGATGATGTATACTTTGGAAAGAAAAACTGAGTTACATCCTTTCTACCACCCAAATTCTGTAGAAGACAAGATACAAGTTGTTCTGTAGTATTATCTTCATCTACCAGCTCTACAGTGTTGACAAGGACCTTCTAAAGTACTGAAAATGTATTCATGTCTCATGTCTCTGTGGAGACTAAGCACTGACACTGCATTTTAATATATTTACAATAGAGCAATACTGGAATATTCTTAAGTTATACCATCTGATTAAAGGTAACAAATACAAATCTGTAGTACAATTAATAATCTATAATCCCTGGGCCACACGGCAGTGAATAGATGTTCCATTATAATTACTGACAGACTTATTTTTCTTGACTGGGAGAGGACCTGTGGGCGCAGGTAGTCACAGATATGTACTCACTAACCTACCAGGGAGTTAACAGGAGAGTCTCTTGTTCTTTATTATTTTATCAATTTTAAAGTGCCTTATTAAATATATATAAACAAAATATATAAAACGTAATTTTATATCAACTCTAGAATTTTTCTTGGTGTTGACATAGATATGTGTGACTGTCACAAAAGAGCCTAAAACATACCTGTTCGCTGGGTAAACACTCAATTCTACTCGTCAGTCTTATTCAGAAAGAGTATTCTGGCAATCTTAATGAAGTCTACTAAAGTTTCAACCATTACAATGTCTGCATGAAATTATGCCTTGCCAGTGAAGTTGAGGCTTTCCAACTATCTTTTCATTTTCTTAAAGAAATTAACTCAAATTACCTATTAAAAAAGGTTAGGGGACACGTTGATCACAAAAACAAGCCAGTGATTAGAGGTAAACCACTTGAAAACTTTTATGAGTCAAAATTTATATCTGCTTATAGGTTCTTCCTGGTCATTTTTTTCCAAGAGATAATCTGACAGGTGGTTTTAAAAAAATAGTGTTTACTTCCTTAACAGTTATGAAGAGAATGACTCTATAATCACTATAGCTCATGACTTGCAGACTTTCTGAGAAACATAGGAATAAAACTGACACATGTAAAATTAGTCACAATATTTAATATTTTCATATTTACCTGAATTGTGGTATTTTTTCCCAACATATTCAAATGCAAAGAGTAGCTGGAGGTCTGTTGGCTGGGAATAATGAGCTATTGCAAGGCATACCTAGGAAAAATTCTATATTTAGAATTGGAATTTAACACACTTAATTAAATGAAATGTACATTAAGGCCTTGGTCAGTGGGGGTGCTCTGGGGCAGGGGTCACAGATACCCTTCATGTTTTCCTGGGTGACCTGAAATGTGTTACGCCTTTCAAGATGACAGGCCTCATTCACTGTTGTGTCCCAGATCCAGTTTAATTTTTAATGAGTACACCAGAAGTACTCAGTATGTATTTGCTGAGCTGAATTTCAACTGGAAAATAATTTCATTACAATAAATGAAACCTGAAAACTAATGAAGCATTCTCCAAAAAGGCAGTGACCACATATCCATGCCAAAAACAAAAAGTTTCCATTTTAGTTAACTATAAATAGGGTAAGGCATAAAAAATTGAATGTTTACACATTATGGATTTAAAAAGCTTAAGTTTAATGGAGAGGCCACAATCACAAAAAATTAAAATTAGCAAGAAACTCCAAAATACATGGATAACCCAGAGAAGTTCATCAAAAAACATTTGAAGACTGTGGAAAAGAACTGGCTGTACATCAAAGGGATCAGGATTTTGAACCAGGCTCTATTGAGTCTTCCTACATCCACTGCCTCATTTCCAGCTTACATCTCTTTGAACATAAAATGAGGTAATAACTAGGCTGGTGTAAGTATTAACAAAATTAGCCTTCAGAGAAGTCCCATACATGGAAATATGTCTGTGATTATTCTCAGCTGCTACTACGAAGAATGAATGATGGTGCTCTGTCTGTGCCTAAAACCTTGGACTAGACTAGAAGAGAATGTCCTGAAAGGAGCAAAGAGAAAGAAGAAACTTAAGACACACAGGTCAAGAATAGCAGATGACCTTATTTTAAAAGATTATATATCAGGTAGAAGGTAAAGCACTAAGACAGAATGATATGCTGTTGACAGTGAGCAAGCAAGAAAAGTTAATTGTTAGTTCCTGTCAAATTAGTGGTGTCTGGCTTGCGTCGGTGAGTTCCATTCATCAGTAAGTACAAGTCAGCTTGCTGCTTAAACTATATTTTTAAGTCTTCTACAGAACAGCATTTCCTATCTCATTAAATCAAAAATACACAATTGAGGGGACAGAATTTATTACTGGTTTTGACCAAAGGAGAGAACAAAGCTTCCTAAATTTTATATACCTTGATTTCTCAATGCTAGCCAGAGATTTCTATGAGGATTCCACTTAGAAAATTTAGGAGATGCTTGTTATCTAGGTCTCCATCCATCACTTCCTAGTCTTTTGGGCACCATAGTTACTTTATAAGCTTTGCTGCATTTTTCTCTGGAAATTTCCATGCATGTCTGTCCCACCTGGCTAAACTGCCATAGCTATGTCTTTAAGCCACTCTCGCCTATGACACTTCTATGAGCTTCCCTGCATTCTAGAAATCCACAGCACTTACGCATTACCTTCTAAAGATGTAATTTTGGCTAATAATTTTGCTATCTTGGCCTTTAGCTGTGGTTCCCAGGCACTTGAGTACCCGCAATAAATTAAATCTCCTAATTGTTGATTTTCTACAAGACTGGCTGTCATCACCAGACGTCTCTTACCTTTCTACCATTCCCTCAGCCATCTGTGGTCTCCAGAGGAAAACATGCTCATATACTGTTTGAGTGCCTGGCCCCAGGGCCATGGCCTCTACCATTCTCACTGCCTGGGAAATATTTCTACCTCTCTAAGCTACCATGCTTTCTTTCAATACTACTCTCTTCCCAAGTCTTCCCAGATGGAGCCAATGCAGGTCATTCATTCTAGAATCTGATTGCCCCATTACAGTATCTCTTCAGTAACTGTACTTCAGACACCTATTATGCTAATAATTCACAGAATGGCTGCTTGGATGAGAAGTAGCACACAGGACTTCTGTTTCTATCATTAAATTCAGAGCACAAGCCATGTTTTTCATCCAGTGAGCCAATTTTCACTGAACACCTACTATATTGTTGTTGTTGTTTTGTTGGTCGTGGGGCCTGAACTCTGGGCCTGGGTGCTGTCTCTCAGCTTTTCGGCTCAAGACTAGCGCTCTACCACTTGAGCAACAGTGCTACTTCTGGCTTTTTCTGCTGAGGAATCACACCCAAGGCCTCATGCATGCAAGGCAAGGACTCTACCACTGAGCCACCTTCCCAACCCCTAAACACCTATTATGTTTTAAGTCCTGATGATGCAGTGAATAAAACAGACACAAATCCGTGCCTTCATTAAGAATACTTTACATTGAAGAAGATAAACAAGATATAGTAAGTTAATAATAAGTGGGAAAACAGAAAAAAAAATAGAGCAAGGAAGGGAACTATGAGATGTTACAGTGAATGAGGGAGGCAGGTTAAAAGTAGAGAATGAGACCAGGAAAAGCCCTCTGCACGAACTAGGTCAGATCTGAAGACTCCCAAGTGTCTACTTCCGCCAGTGTCACTTGAAAGCTTTCTGTTGGCTACTGTGTCAGGTAGTGACATATCACTAACACTATTCGAGAACGTTACTAAAAATTCATGAATATACTCCTAGTCAATAATATTAGTCTCTCCCTTTTCTAAGATGACTAAAAGGAGTCACAGACCCTGTTTATACAAAAGAAATGGACACATGATGGAATAGGACTTTACAAAACAAAAAAGAACCTAAGCCTATCTGCACAGCAAAACCCAACAAAGCACAAGTATGGCTAATCACATCTACATTTAAAGCAGACTAGAAAAATATTGTGACACTGAAACTCAGTTCAATGAGAGAGGGAGTCAGATAAGTAATAGGTGGGCCCAACTTATTTTCATGCAACCTGTAAGGTATGGGCACAGACAGAGGTATATGCACAACCGCATATGTAAATAGCCCACTGCTGCAGTGGAAATAATACTGTGAGAGGAGAGAGCAAGCCAGGGTCCCCATCTTTACTTTCTCTTACAAACTGTTTAAAAACTCTTCGTCCAAATTCCTAGCTTCCATTCCTAAGTTTTGAAAGACTTAAACTTCTGGGTCTCACTTTCATGTAGAATCATTCTTACTTTCCAAGTATTCTTCAGGCAACAAAAAAATTGAACAAACTCTTGTACCCATGGTTAATGTTTCTCCTCCAAGACTGACTACGGCAAAGCTCACACTCAGAAAACACGCAAACCTCTAGCTCTGCCACATTTACAAACAAAACCAAGTTTCCTACGTCCTGTGGTCTAAAAGCCACCAATAACTATTAGGTTCTAGACAAAAATGACAGTCCAAGTGAAGGCCAACCTATTCTTTAAATTAGAACTGAATTCGTTTCTAGAAAGCATGCCTCAACAATAAAACTTGGAGTCATATATTTAGTTTACTATCTGTCCATTTACCTGTCTATAAATTTAAAAAATAAATACATCATTAAAAATACCTTTAAAAAGATTTTTTTGTTTGCTTTTTGTGCCTGGACTGAGGATTCAATTCAAGGCCTAGGTACTGTCCCTTAGCTTTTTCAATCAAGGCTGGCACTCTACGACCTCAGCCACAGCTCAACTTCTGGCTTTTTGTTGTTTGGAGATAAGAATCTCACAGACTTTCCTATCTGTTCTGGCTTTAAACTGTGATCCTTAGGTCTCAGACTGATGAATGACTAGGATTACAGGCACAAGTCACCAATAGCTGGCTTAAATTTTATTTTTATTAAACACACACACACACACACACACAAAAACCTTTTTGCACTTCAGTTGTGAACAAAGGTTCAAAAGGAAATTGCTCCAAGTTGCTCTGAGGTAAGATATCCAATTCTGTATTCTGAAACTCTTCTTTATATGGCTCTTTACCAAACATTATTATTTTCCTGTGATGGCCCAAGTAGAAGGAGGATAAACAGAAAAAGAGTATAGCTGCACAAAATAACCCAACTCAGTCATAATGCAACTGAGAGAAAACCAATTACGCCACTAAATGGTTTTAGAGCAACATTTACCTAAATGTTTATTGATCTGGTAGTCTGAGAATTTATATTTCAAACAAAAAAACCTACAGTACTTCACAAATAGTGGTTCACAGAACTCCAAATATGTGGTTGATCATTTAAAAAAAAATTTATAAAGTCAAAATGTTTTCCAAAGAAAACTTAGCATTCAAAGCTTCTATGGGGTTAAAAATAAACTATAATTTCCCAATTGCTAATTTTATCTTATTTTAGAGGTAGTGTCTCACTATGTTGCTCAGGTCAGCCTTGAGCTCCTGTACTGGGTTCAAGTGATCCTCCTGCCTCAGCCTTCCAAGTAGCTGTAACTCCAGGTGTGGGGACCACCTCACCCTGCCAAAAGGAATCTCTGTGGTTTGGGGGTTTGTTTTTTTTGTGTGTGCCAGTAATTGAACTCAGGGCCTCATGTTCTCAACTGACTTTTCTGCTCAAGGCTGGTGCTCTACCACCTGAGGCTCATCTACACTTCCAGCTTTTCACTAACTGACTAAAAGATCTTACAGATTCTTTTCTGCCCAAGCTTGTTTTCAAACGGTGATCCTCAGATCTCAGCCTCATGAGTAGCTAAGATTACAGGTGTAAGCCACCGATGCCTGGCATTTTAGTTTTTCTGAGACAGGATGTTATGTTGCCCAAGCTGGCCTTGTACTTGAGATCTTCCTGCCTCAGTTTCTTGAATAGCTAGGGTATGACATCTGCCACACACCCAGCTCCTAACTAATTTTACATGAAAACTTTCACTTGTAACAACAGCATATTCTAGAAAGCTTTGGTTTGTGGTTTTGTTGTTTTTAACTCATAAAGTCACAAAGGTTTGGTAGCCACACATGACTTAGCCCTCTGTTTAAAAACATGCAAATCAGAGAAACAAATTTTCTAGCTATATTCCCACTGCCTCTGCTTTCTCCCACATTTTCCCCCATGACCATACAAAAGATAAAGAATTTCTTTCTGAGCTAGTATGCTTTTTATATTTTAAGACACTGGGGAAAGGATTTTTGGCACGCACGTGGTCTTAGCAGAGTGAGCTTGTTTCTGTGAACTGTTCAATGAAGCCTTCATTCACCAGCAGACAGACACAAACAAGGGAAGCCTTGCATTTCCAGAGCATGTATTACGTGCTGATCACTAAACACTAATCATCTGCATGGGGACATCTTTTATGCTGCTGCTCTGTACTATAATGTTCACCTGTTGCGGCCTCATCTTCTCAACAAGACACAACAAGCTGTATCATCCTCTTCTTTCTAGCTGGCAGAACCCATTGCTAGGCAGATATTTAATTAAAATTGCTAGGCAGATATCTAATTAAAATTCCCCCTAAAAATCTGAGAAATTGAGAAATGAAACCAGAACACACATCAAAAGTTAAGTATTCTGGATGGCTCAAAAACTAAAATAATTAGAATTTCTACCATTTACTAAAATAGTGTCATCTGAGAAATGGAGAAAGAGATTTAAACTTTCTGAAAGAAAGGTCAACTGTATTAACTTTTTAGTTCTGTGGTGCTTCTATTCTTGAAATTTTACACAGCTTTTTGAGTGGGAGACAGTACTGGGTTTTGAACTGAGGGCTTTGCACTTGTAGGTGGGTCTATTGCTTGAGCCATGCTTCCAGCCCTTTTTTCTGATTATTTTTGAGAGATAGCCTCATTTTTTCCCAGGCCATCCTGGACTGGATCGTGATCCTATTTCATGCTTCCCACCATGACTATGATGGATAACAGACATGCACATCAAACTTATGGATGAATCAAAGTTACTCCTTTGCCTTCTAGGAAATGTTTAATGCCTGCTGATGAGAGTTAAATTCAAGGGAAGAAAGCTCCACCTCTTTGCATTTCACTTGTCAGAGGAGTATAGCTGATAGATTCAATGTCCTCTGTTCCAGTCTATTGTGACAAATACAGGAAAAGAGCAATGAAATTCCCAGAAAAAACCTGCTCTTGTGTATGGGGAATAGAGCAAAAGTGCCTTTATGCACTAGAAATCTACTTTCTTTCAGGACTAAAGAAGTCTCTGGCCAGGCGCCGGTGGCTCACACCTGTAATCCTAAGCTACTCAGGAGGCTGAGATCTGAGGATTGCAGTTCAAAGCCAGCCCGGGCAGGAAAGCCCATGAAACTCTTATCTCCAATAAACCACCAGAAAACCGGAAGTGGCACTATAGTTCAAGTGGTAGAGCAGTAGCCTTGAGGTGTAGAGCTAAGGGACAGCGCTCAGGCCCAGAGTTCAAGCCCCATGACTGACCCAAAAAAAAAGAAGTCTCTGCACCACCAATGGCATATTAGTTTTCCATGTCCTGTTTATGAGGCATAAAAAAAGGAGATAGGGGCATGGCTCAAGCAGCAGAGCACCTGCTTATTTCAAACCAACACTCAAAAGAGGTCCTGAGTTAAAACCAGTACTGCAAAAAAGAAAGTCTCTTAATATTTTAGGAGCTGATAAAAATTTGTATGTAAATATTTCCAAGTAGCCATAATCTTATATTAGGAAATAAATAATTCTATTACTATTCTCAGGTTTGACTTCTTGACTTAAGGAGATACTAAATAACTTCTTCTAAAAAGAATCTGCACAAATGAGAAATGAAATTTTCATGTAGAAGTGAAATTGGTAATTAAATAAAGAACCCAGAACTCAATAAAAGTTAATAGTATTACCTTTTTGGCACTTTCAGGACCTGATTCATCAAAGCGAAATCTGACAATTCTGAAATCTTTACAATAAATGATTAACTCTGTTGGGTTAAATTTCAGTTTCTGGTTGGGGCCTAGGACTTTCTGCTTCCTCTTATGGTCATTCACTAAAAGAGAAAGAAAAAATAAGTGTGAAAATATTTTCTTGTTAATAATTAGTTCATTTATATTATCAGTGAAAAGTTGCGGTAAAGATGCCCTTCTCTGTATCTGTAATTCTCTCTTGATCTCTAACTCCTAGAACTTCAGGGGTTGGTTTAAACTTTGCTTTTAAAGGTATTTTACTCTTTGAATAAAACCATCACTTTGTAGATCTTCTTAATGATTATATTGTAAGTTAAAAGAACACAAAATTTAGAAACTAAAAAAACCATATACACATTCTACATTCCCACTTAAAAAAATGTAATTTCTTGACTTGTCTAGGGTTAATGTTCCTGAAATACAAATAAAAAAGGAAGGAGTCTGGGTCTGGTTAAAACTAACCTACAGAAATAAATTTCCAACTCAAATATTTGGGAAGTATAACTTGTCAAAGAACATTTCCAGAATGAAATCAACTTTTAGAGATCTACTCCTTTTGTTTTTGTTGCTGTTTGAGACCAACTGTCAATTCTACGCTCAAGAGATATCTCTGCTCTTTCCAGCTGAGGCAACTGGCACAGGATACCATCCACTCTGCCCAGTTTGAACTTTTAGAGACAAGACATTAGACTACTACATACCTGTTACAATTTGTTCAATACACGTTAAGGGAACATCATGTTCTCCAAGAAGAAGGTTTCTATAATGGAATTTCTGAAATAAAAAAATATGTTCACATTAATTCTTTGCTCAATAGCCTTATGATGGGAATACTAGCCTTATTTTTAGATGTGGTAAGAAACTGTGACTATTGTCTGTAACAAGTAAAAAAAAAAAGCTGGGAGGATCATTCGAAGGACATATCTTAGGACATACCTCAATAGTAACACAATGGTAGAGAAGACAAAGAAATGCATGCTCCTGACTACTTCTGTTCTAACAGAACGGAACTAAGTAAAAATGTATACCACAACACCACTATAATATACACTTCACATTACACTTCATGTAATGCAATCAGTTACTTCATTGGCAAACACTTGCAAATCCAATTCAGGGTAAAATGGTCATAAAATAGGAGAAAAAGGATAAATCCTAGGATCGTATGGTAAAATCATATTCTTTTTTGCAATGGAGTTTTGTTTGCAGGAGACTGGTACAGGAGCTTGAACTCAAGGCCTTCAACTCTCACTTAGCTTTTTTTTTTTTTTTTTTTGGTCATGAGGCTTGAACTCTGGACCTGGGCACTGTCCCTCAGCTCTTCAGCTCAAGGCAAGTGCTCTGCCACTTAAGCCACAGCACCACTTCCGGTTTTCTGGTAGTTAATTAGAGTCTCATGGACTTTCCTGCTCCGGTTGGCTTTGAATGGCAATTCTCATATCTCAGCCTCCTGGGTAGCTAGGATTACAGGCATGAGCCACTGGTACCTGGCTCACTTAGCTTTTTAAATGAGGGCTAGCACTCTACTACTTGAGCCACACCTCTGCTTCTAAGGTTTTGCTATTTTTTGGAGACTAGAGTTGCTTAGATTTGTTAGGCCAGGTTGTCTCTAAACCCTGGAGTCTCAAGTCTCAGTCTCCTGGTCTCAGTCTCCTGAGTACCTAAAATTATAGACATGAGCCACCAATGTAGATTTTATAGTTGAAATAACTCCCTAGAGTATAAAATCTACTAAAATTATGAAAGCCTTGTTATGAGCCTAGTCTGGTTTCAAACTTCTGATTTTCCTGCCTGAGCCTCTCAAATACTGGGATAGAAATAAAAGTCTTTAGGAAAAGTTTTTAGTAAACTAGAGCTCAATGTTTTCACATTAATGAATACTCTATATACATTGTCAAACTAAGGTCACAGCTGGCACTACTGACCTGCTGTTTTATGGCACTGGCTTATTTTTTCTACCACTGGTACTGGACTCAAGCTATCCCAAGTAAGCTGGAGGTACCTTAGTTCAAGCCTGAATATGGTGTGCGTGCGTGCATGTGTGTGTGTGTGTGTGTGTGTGTGTGCACATTTGTGTGTATGTGTAAGATTAATATATTGCAGTAAATTAGTGAATTATTACAATAAATATATTTACACAAAGGTCAGTCAAAAGTATATAGTAATCATACAAGAATTTCATTAAAAACAGTTACTATTATAAATATAGATCTAAGGAGCAAAAGTGTTTTATTTTCTAAATATAAACAAAATAATTGTGAAAAAAATCTAGAATTTTTAATTTAACCAAAAGAAGGTAGAACTACTTTCCAGTAAATATTTAAGATAGCAACAGACTTATCAGACAAAAATTTCATCACTGTTAAACAATTCTAGAAACTAAGCTTCTTGGGAAACAATTAGTTTTTCAAAAAAAAACTATGAAATGAGTAACAAATTCAACATTTGTAAGATAATTAATTTCCTAAATAATTGAATTTTTCTCTTTATTTTTAGTGAAAAAGAAAATACTTGCTTTTATAAGTAAGATTTAGAGAAAAAAGATAGTTCCCTTATTGAAAACAATATCTAACTAGCTGGGCACCAGTGCCTCATGCTCAGTAAATAATCTGGAGGATTGTGGTTTGAAGCCAGCCTGGGCAGAAAAATCTTTGAGACTCCAGCTCCAATGCAACCAGTAAAAAGCTGGGCTGGAGGTATGGTTTAAGTGGTACAGTGCCAGCAGAGCAAGAAAGCCAAGCATGAGGCCCCTAGTTCAAAACTGGTATAGGCAAAACAAGAAAAAGACAAAAAGATAGTATAACCAATGACTACAAAGGATTAAAAACAGCATCCCACTAATTCTATTCCTCAGGAAGTCTCAAGATTCTATTAAGTTTCAGTTTAATCAAATACACTACCAATATATTAATCATTGATTGACAAATTTTATAATTTTTCCATACCTGTTATTTATATAACAAAATGCACTGCTTGGAGTCAAAGCTTTGCCTCAATTAAACAGTGTACAAATAACGCACCTGTAATGGCATTGGGTCATCTGTGATAAAGGAAATTTTGAAATTGCTGCAGATCAGTTTCCCCCACAGATCGTACTGGCTTGTGTCTGTTGCAATGCATTTTCTTACAAAGTTGACTTCATTCACAACAATTTCTCCTAAAAACAGACAAAAACCCAACATCACTGGCAGAGCTACAACTCAGCCATAAAATGTCAACTGTCACTGTGTGACCTATAAGGCGATAATAGTGACAGGAAGAAAGAAGAGTCACTGCTTAAAATGCTCTAAGTGCTTTTTATTGTTACAACGTAACAGTTCTCTATTTGTAAGAGAGGAAAACCAGAATATATTCCAGAAAGCCAAATCAAGTATGCCTCTGTGTTCAAATTATAAGTTAGTAAGTTATAAAACTACAATAAAATTTGAGTTAAAAGGAAACATTAGAGAAATAGATGTAAGAAAAAAAGAAGGAAAGTTATAACCTATTTTTGAAAAGAGTAACTATAATTTATCTCAAGCTTAGCTACCATGAAACCTTAATTTCAAGACTGAAAACTCAATCAGACCCTGGAATATTTTTAAGCCATCCATCTTCACACGGCAATGGTAGGAAAGTTGTATTTCATCATTATAAAACCCAGTAACAGTGGACCCAGCACCTGTTCACTGATACTCCTCAGACACGGATAAATTCATGAAGAATGAAAACAGCCTCAAAATAATCCTCTAACAAAAAGTTACAATTTATCTCTTGCAAGAATAACTCTTATTCAGAGTTTTTCAAGATTCACTGTTTAAAGAACAGATCCCCAACATCTACTTGCAGATGTAATTCAAATATGCTCAGGCCAAATTTCTTGTTCAAGCCATTGGATGAATTTCCATTCTGAATACAAGCCTCCCGCTCTTGACCTAAAGCTCTGCCCATTTCTGTGTAGGCAGGCCAGCCCCAATCAAAACCAAAACAAAACAAAAGTTATCTTCTATTTTAAAAAATGATGAATATCACAAAAGCAAAAAGGGATGGAGGCATGATTTAAGTGGCAGAGTGCTATGCAGGGCTCTGAGTTCAAATCCCAGTACTGCCAAAAAGTCTTGCTAGATTAAATCCCCTCATGAGCATTATAAACTTGCAATTTGAGCACTCATCACAGATATAATTTTACATACATATATATATATGTATATATATACATGGAACATATAATCTTGAGCATAAGATAAGTACTATATATATATGTATATATATAGTACTTATCTTATGCTCAAGATTATATGTTCCATGGGGGCAAAAAGTAGATTATAGAGGAAAACTGGGGGAACGAGAAGGAAGGGGTGATATTGTCCAGAAAAAAAAGTACTCATTACCTGACTTATGAAACAGCAGCCCCTCTGTACAAAAGTTTAATAGTAACAGTAAAATAATTCTTTTAAAAAAAGACTTTTTTAACACAGAAAACTTGGGGCTTAGAATAGTATCAAGCACATAGTAGGTACCTCCTAAGTGCTGAATAAATGAGATCCCCTCACTGTCCCTGAATAAATGAATGAAATTACCTCACTGCTCCTACTCTGTCAGTTGTTTGGAACAGAAACTGTTCTAAAACAGAGCAAAACCCAGCAATTCAGTATGGCCACATAGCCAAGCAGATAAGAACATGAGGGCTTGTTTGGGTAAATCTATATGAATTGGGGGTGGGGGGGAGAGAATCATAGAACTGCCACTGCTAGCAATGGGAGGTTTCTCAATGTTTCTAGCAATGAGGGTTTCTCATGAACTAATTCAGTCAACAGCATGTCAGATGTTTCCTTTAATGCAAACACAAGGGCTTGGACCCAAAGAGGTTAAATTACTTTCCAAAGGTCTTAAAAATAGTAAGAAGCAAATGTGGAACTTGTAACCTAGTTTCAAACTGTTGACTTCAAATCTGAGACAGCTGTCCTCTAGTATCTGTGGGGGACTGGCTCCAGGATTCCAAAGACACTGAAATCTGTCCCTCCTATAAGATGGAATGGTATCTGCATATAACATACACATTCCTGAAATCATCTTTAGATTGCTCAGAACATGCAATACAATGTAAACAGTTGTTCTACTGTATGTTTAGGAAATAATGACATGAAAAGAAGTATGTTCTTGTTCATCAGAAATACAGTTTTGTTTCTCGAAAGTAGAACCTACAGGCATGGAGGCCATCTGGACTTGTTTCCATATACTTGCATACAAGTAAGTGTACTGTAGTGAGTGAAAGAGCCAGCACCAACACTGAATTAAAGATTCAAAACACCTGGTGGAGTGTTTGCCTAGTGAGCACAAAGCCCTCAGTTCAAATCCTAATGCCATCCCCAAAAAACAAACAAAAAGCTTACAATGATTCAAAATATTGGTCTTAGCCGAATAGTAGTAAGAAAAACATTTAAAATGACAGAAGTATACATAAAAACTCATCAAATAATTCAACTACATAAAATTTAAATATCTTCTATAGTTTCTCCTTTGTACTCTTTCTTTATCTGAATCTCAGCTACTGAACACACCTACTAAATTCGCTCCCCAATCTAGGTTGCCAATTATAAGATATCTTTAACATACAACAGAACTCCTCATTGTCAGTTTGAAGAGAGGACATGTTCCTAGCATATGGGCTCACAAAGAGCCACCAACATTCCTTCATACGGTGCTGCCCTCAACTCACCAAACAGTGCTGTGAACTCATCTAGGTGCAGCACTTCGGATTCATACATATGTCTTATGTATATTATAGTCAAATAAAAAATACATGTAAAAAACATACCAATTACCATACACAACAGGATTTCAGGCTCTCCAGAAGGGGAGCAGAGGTAATGGGGGGAAAATAAAGATGGAGGGCTTGTGGGGCCTGGCTGGCACCATCTACCATTTTTACTTATATGGCACACACTGCTGATAAGCCCTGTTCTAGAGACTGGATTTTCTTAGCCATGCAAGAGGAAAATGCCAGGCCTGGGAATGCAATGAGGTGAGACCAAAGAATGCATTTAATGGTCCAGGGGGTGGGGGTGGTAAACCACAGTCTGTAGGCCAAACACAGAGCCTGTTTTGTGTAAATAAATTATACTGAAACACAGACATATTCATTTGTGCACTGCCTTTGGGTGCCTCACAGGAAAACACAGGCCTTCTGCCCCACAACACCTGAAATATTTATCATCTGGTACTTTAACAAAAAAGTTTTCTAACTCCTTGGTTAGATATGGTTACTTAGCAATTCTTAAAAGTATGGTAAGCAAGGCTCAGAAGATGTTTCCAGACACTTCTTGCCAACTTTAAAAACAAAAAAAAACTTTTTTACTTTAAGTAGTTGTACAAAGGGGTTTCAATTCAATGTATTAATGTTTAAATACAATGCATCTTGAATGCTGTAGTAATCTCCTGAGAGCTGGGGTGGGGATAGAAAATCTTTCTCCATCAGAAGACAGTGAAAAGACTATTTTCACTGCTGCTGCACCCAGCACACAGTGCTGTTTCTTCGCACAATAGTTATCCGCTCTTCACTACAAAACAGAAGAAGAAAACAAAGGATAAAAGCTGTCACAAGCCATTGCCAACCCCTATAAATACAATGGACTAGCGAACTAGCTTCAGACAGGGAAGAAGAATAAGACACAAAGCGCCTCCTCCTGGATAGGCTGGATGAAGAGCACTGAGCTGTTCTTGTTCACAAGCAAACTAGTGACCTTGAGGAGGAAACTCCTAATAAAGTCTTCAAACACTAGTGCGTGGACACTGAACTCCTGAGCCTCTTCTGGTGGAAGGCTGGACACAACCATGGCTCACACCTGTCTCCTATTCCCACACCATTCACCTTGTAGCTCCCTGCACATCACTCAGACCTAACACCTGCCTTTGGTGGAACATGGGGAGCCTTGTGGAGAAAAAAAAGCAAACAGGAAACAGCTTTAGTATGGAGTGAGCATTAAGCAGCCTAGAAAAACTTTCTAAATTAGAAAATGTTGGCCAAGAGTTTGTACCAAGACCTGGGAAAGAAGCAAGAAACAGTCAATGTTTGTTTCTCAAGATCCTTCTATCGGTAAAGGAAATACAAAAATAACCTCCAAATGATAGAGCTACGGAAGGGCTTTAGTGAACCAGGACCAAAAAAAAAAGTCATATTCTATTCATCCTTCTTAACACCATAAGCAGTTAAAAGGCCAATATATGTTTGAGGAATAGAAATAAATTTTCCCATAAATTTTAGTTTGGAAAATGGCTTAGGACAAAGTCTTGCCGTGTACATTGGCTAATTAACCCACCACGTGTTTCAGCCAAAAGCAAATTCAACCCATGGCTTTAAACAGGGTGACCAACTGTCCTAGTTTGCCTGGGACAGAAGGAGTTCCTTGGATGTGGGACTGGCAGAAAGAAAGTCAAGGCAGTTGAGGGCAAACTGGGTGACACGTTTGGATATGGGACTGACAGAAAGTCACGGCAGTCCAGGGCAAGCTAGGGTGACAAGTTGGTCACCCTAGTTTTAGACACATGCAGGAATTAAAGTGGCCTAAAAGTTATTATAGGAAGGTCAAAACTATGTAAACAAAATGCCAGCCACTGTCACTGGTACTGGCAGGGTCTGATTCTGCAGGTTACAAACAATACAACTAAGCAGCAGAGGTAGCAAGTGCTCTTCGCAACAGGAATGGTATGGGGGTCACAGCACAAGTCTGGACAGGAGACTTAGCTGCAGTCCTGAAGGGAGAAGGTGAAGATATTAGAAAATGTCTGACAACAGAGACAAAAGTCTATATAAAGAATCAAGTGTAAGAGACATCCTGTCTGAAGCAAATACAGTATTGGGGAACAGTAAGACACCAAGCCAGCAAGGCAGTGTTGGCAAATTATAGTAGTTAAACAATTTGGGGTTTTATCCAGCTTAAGAAAGATTTGTTTATGGAGGCTTAGGGAAGAGTTTCCAAGCACGAGTGGAAAGTTACACAGAGAATGAAGAACTTAGGAATAAAATTCAAGCCTGAGGTCCAGTACCAGTGGCCTAAGGAATGGACAGTTCCAAACATTTTTCAGTTCTATGGATGAACTATAAACCTAATGCTAAGACATTGGTCTAACTCTTCTGAACAACCAACAGTTTAACACAATGAATGCCAGAAGTTGGAA